TGAAACGTTGGAATAAATGCATACGCTCTGAGAAACCCTCAGGTAGTTGGGCTCCCCGAGTAGCAGTGAGGTTTCCAGGCTTACCAATCAAAGACATATTTACCTTAGAATTTCTTAGACTTGGCTCTTTATCACTGATCTGTTAAAAGGGGACGTGACTGGCAAAGGCTGTATGAAAACTGCGGTATTTATTTGTAACTAATGGAAGCACAACACTTTTCCTCGCGAGGCAGACGGGTAGAGTGATTTAACACAAGAAGTAATAAAAGTTACAAATGAGAGGAGGCCATTAGGCCCATCAATGCTCGCTCTCTTCCTCCTAACTAATTGATCCTGGAACTTCATCTGTTCTGCCGCTGAAGAACCCCGATGAATCAGCGACAGCACTGCGGCCTTGCTGCAGTTCCACACACCCATCACTCTGCATTACAAAAAGGAGCTCCATGCCTTCTGTCCTTCCCCCCGGTTAGTAAGTGTGCTCTGTGGTCCATGTGCTGACGTTATTGATGCACCGACTGCAATGGACTCTGATTACCCTGATCAGGACAGCAAGAACTTCAAGGATTTTCCTAAAGCCTTCAAGGTTTTTGCCCATCAATTCCCCATCAGCACTGATCAAAAACAACCCCTATGAAGCTCACACAGAGCTCTAGGGGCTGCCTGTTTAAACCGTGGTGAAATTCCTCTCTGTTTCAGTGATTTAGTGTTTGATTTAGTGTTTATATACGACAGAAACGATTCCACGATACGAAAAAAACTGCTTTTTTATAACAGGACCATCACCACTTTCTGAAAGCCTGCTGCGATAAAAAAAAAAGTATTTTAAGATGTTCATCCACTGTGATAAAGGATTCTTCGAATTTCACAGAAAGGAATACTTTTAACCTCTTGCTTCAAGGGTAAATGTTTTGGCAGAACACTCTTGAAATTCTAGGAACACAATTACACATCCACGTTCATTAAATGAACACTGAAAAACAAGAATTCCAAGGCCCACCACAAAATGTGGAAAGACTGCGCTGTTTGCTTTCTTTAAAAGAACTGGCCAAGGAGAAAGTACTATTTCCACTATGATTAAATAGTACAATTCTACTGTTTTATAACGGTGCTTAAGAACAGCTCTGCATATTAGTAATGATTTCTCTGAGCTTTGATGGCACATTTTCACTCAATTCAAAAGCTGAGGGAAAGGGATTTTTATTTTTACATCAAACATCCTGTATTCTTTAGATTCTCTCTTTCCCTGCTGCCACCTTCAATGCCTTGGGGAATTATTGTGGAACTGACACCATTTATTTACAGGTCCACTCAATTTCCATGAAGACGTCCAGAAAAACAATGAATCTGTTAGATGCTTTTGACATAAAATCACGCAAACTCCTTTTTCTTTTTTGCTTCAGCTTCCAGCATCCCAATTTTCTCCTGATCTCGCTTGGCCTGGCATGTTACACTATTAATTATTAATATAAATAAACAGCGGCATTTCAGGATTTCAGAAAATGTCCATGACTGCAGGGAGGTGCATGTGGCGTTCATTTGTTTTGGGTAGATTGGCACATGAACGTAGACGACAGTTCCATTTTAAAATAAATCTGTATCTCTTTGCAACAGTATGTAAACAGCACACAGTATAAAGGCCGTGAATGAAGAGCGAAACAGATTCTTGTACTTTCAGAACTACCAACGTAATCAGGCGATGATCATAGCAGCTGGGTCAAAGAGAACTAGAACCACCGAATGTTATTTTAGATATTATAAAGGGTAATTCCAGGCTGAAAAGAGAAGCAAGGAAACACAACGTTTCAGCTGTGGAGCCTTCCTTCAGGTGTGATGGGATCTGATGAAGTTAGTTACAAAGGGAAGATATGTGGAGAGGTTAGCCTTTAAAATTCTTTAGCTTCTTTGATGTTGTTGTCAGAAAGGGTAATCTGTCGTTTGAGGGAGAAAACAACAGAAAGCATTAGTTTCCTCGAAAACTGAAGTCTCCCGAGTGTTACTCTGGGTAGTGTCGGAGTCAAAGGAAAAAGTGTTCAATTTCAGACGAAATCCTTTAGGAATTGTATAACGACGACATCTGTACAGGAATAGGAGGTGGTTAGAAAGCCTGGTCTTGGAACAGATCGCTGTGAAGAGACAGAGTGAGAGAAGGGGGGGACAAGTAGCCCAGAGAGGAGGAGGAGGAGGAGGAGGAGGAATGACGAAGAGATCCGGAAAAAGATTGAGAGGAAGGCACAGTGGGTCGCAGCAGAAGTAGGCTGAAGTAGCTCAAGTGGGGAGCTGCGTCAGCATGCGTAGGCTGCAAAGGAACAAGTAAAGGTTTATTCCAGGCTGAAAAGAGAAGAAAGAAAACAACGTTTCGGCTGTGGAGCCTTCTTCGGGTGTGATTCCCGAACTGCAGCTCGTATTACTGTTGTACTAGTTCAAGAAGGTAGACACCCGAAGAAGGCTCCACAACCGAAACACTGTTTCTCTCTGCCACAACGCCTGTCCTGGCACCTATCCCATCAAGCAACGGGCAAAAGTCACGCCAGTCCATCGCAGCGCATGGAAATCTGCCCTGTCATGTGACACCATTCAAAAAGGATCAACTAGACTGAACCGTTAAAATAAGTAAAAAACATACTAGCATTACCTACTGAAACCTTTTACACACTGGATTTCTGCACCAAAAATGACTAGTTGAAATCTCGAACTCAACCCTGTAGATCTTTCTCCTTATATGAACTGCTGGATGTCATACTGGCAATCAGCAAAGCATAAAGGTCAGTTTATTTCTTTGCCAGTTATTGACAGAAGAGACGGATACACGAGTTTTAGGACTGATGAAGACTGAAAATCCAAGTTTCCAAGCGTCTCCCTTTCCCAACTGTGACCGGGTGACCCGTGACAGGACAGGACGAAGGCTAGTTCGCTCGTCAGACACACCCTTCTGCCTCGGACACCAAGCCTAGGAGAGAGATGATGAAGGAGGTCGTAGCCCTCAGTCTCCTGTCCTACCCCAGAAACCGCATCGCTCAGTGAAGGAGACGAGGAGGAACATGAGAGAACCGTCCAATATTTTTTTCGTAAAACCGTAAAGCAATATTTGCCCACTGTCATCTTTGCAACACCAGACAAATGATGGCTTCATCTGCCAAAAACATTGTTGCGTCTCCTATTTAAATGCGTTACATTAGATGAAATATCTAGCGCTTCTTATTATAAAGTCATTACTTTCTGCTAGTCGTTTTTTTTCCAAAATGACACTATAGTGGTTTTCCTTTAATGCCTGAAGATAATTACAACTTTGTAAGTTACATCTCCCCTAGCCACATCCAGGGATAACAACTGATTTTGCTAATTATTTTTTGTGACTGCTCAGTGACTGCCAAGACTACTTGTACTTGATTTTAAATAGAACAAATGAATTTTCTTTTTTTAACTCTTTACTCCGGACTTTTATATGGAACATACTGATGTCAGATCAGGGATTTAGGCAGCAGGTCTATGAGGCACTTGAAAGAAAAAAAAATAAAAGAAAACGTGTATTGCTTATTTCCAAAGGCTAACCAAAATGATCAAACTCATGTAATTCATTTTTAATCAGGCACACAATGCCAAAGCTTTGTCAAAACCAAATAAAACAGACGACGAGGCTCTTTATTACCATAAACTTCCAGGAGGGGGTTCTCATGGAGACTCCAAGGCATCGCTCCACGGCCATTTTGTGTGTCTCATAAAACGCATCTTTTTACTACCTTGCTGACTTGGAGAGCTCCCTCAACAAAAGCAAGCTCAGTGACTTTTTCCGCACGTGTTATCAGCCCGTCTCAGAGAGGCAATTCCGAAACGGAGCATCTTCTTTAAAAGCGCAGAGGGCCGAGAGTTTATGAGAGAAGAGAGCGCGTCGGAGGCAAACCTGGCCTTGCTGTGTGCGCTGGGAGCTCCTGGAAGATCGTTTAAGCGTCCCTCTCCCGCCAATACTAAACCGTAAAACGAGCCAGGTGTGAAAACGCACGGTTTCTTTGAAGCACAGCAATCTCTTTAAAAGCTATTAACTGCGGGGCCTAAAGCCCAGTACACAACGGACCCCAGTTTTTACACTGAAATTCCTGACTGACCGAAAACTGATCAAATTCCTGTTTTGTTGTGAAACTAGCGTATTGCTTCACTCAAGAGAAATGAAATGCCAGTAGTAAGAAAATACATTATACTGTTTGAACTCTCTTGCTATGTCAGGAAGACAATGCAGGGGCAATAAAGATACATTCTCTGGGGCCCAGATGATGAAGGAACTCTTCCAAAAGCTTATTAAGGTCTGTGGTCACGGGTTCAAGCTGGGGTTATGTCACTAACTGGCTGTGATTGCCCAAGCAGCAGCGCACTACTGGGTGAGTGGGATTAATTGCCCTAGGCTCTCTCAGCAACACAGCGCCCCCTCTGGCCACCAGAAGCCTTGCAGGCCTGGGGCGCTGTCAGCTCCAACCAGCCCTGAAGCTTCGGTTCAGCTTCGTGGTGCCTGTGACGTATTAAGGAACGCACAGCATGAAGGAGGGATACATTTCAGACTTAATGAATGCAGCACAAGCTTTTGATCACCGAAACTTCCTCGTTCTTCCCTGGAGCGAGGTCGTGGGCTCCTTGGCTACGTAACGAGATGTAAAAAAACACTCAACTGGCAAATAACAAAATTAGATGGATACATCGGTAATAATTAGCCATTATAGATTCCTTAATGAAAGGGATAAAGCCACATCATCTTACCACCTCCACTTTTTTCTTTGGGAACAACAGGGACTAGAGCCCCTAAATGTTTCCATATGCCAGTAATTCCAGCCTGGGCAAAACTGTATTCAGTGGTGAACAAAATCAGTTCAGACAGTACCTACAGTTCAAATAGTCATAATAAGGTACGATCGCATGCTGTAATGGTTTGAGAAAATGAGGAAATCTGAAGGTAGGAAGTGACCTGAACAACGGCTGTCCGACACGGCAAAGTGAAAATGGAGAGCAGGAGGTACCTGTGACTGAGGGTACTGCACTCCACCCATGGCAGCCTGGCTCCTCCCTGGCATTCCCATGGGGTAGCGGTGTGCCGTGGGCGACCCGTACGGCTGCCCAGGGTAGGTGCCGCTCTGCTGCGGCGGCGGCTGCTGCTGCTGCTGCTGTGGCTGCTGGGAGTACGGGTTACTGCCCACCCCGTACAGCTGGGACCTCTTCATCGCCATGGAGTCCACGGCGCCGGCCTGCGGGACAAACAGCAAGCCCGTTACAGACGCTGCCCCGCGGGAACACACAGAAACCCCCGCGCTTTCGGCACCGCCACGGGGTTATCGTCTTTCGTCGGACACCGCCCGGAGAGGCCGGCGTTTCCTCGCGAGTGGAAAGTCACGAGCGCCTGGACTCTGCTGCAGGAGGAAAATATTAACATTAAACACTGAACCTAACAACCCCGGATATTAAGGAGAACTGACTTGTTTAAGTGGCGAGTGGCAGGAATAAATGGCACAAGTAACTTCTTACTGGGAGCCAACTAATGTCAACTTGCTCTTCTGACCAAAGGTATGAAACATACTCGGTGAAGCACAGACTCTTCCATGCTGCGTTACCCTCCTTCATTCCCCCTGTCTAAGAGACCTGGACAATCAACTGCTGCTACGTCACTGTTGTGCTTGTTCAACCAAGAAGAGGTGGGACTGATGAGCGTGACATGAGGAGGGTGGATTTCTTCTCTCCCTGCCCACCAAGAAGGAACTGCCCTCGAACACACACAGAGGTTACAAACGGCAGGAAGCCAGTCAGCCCATTCAGATTGCTTGGTAGTTATTAGCTAAATGATCTAAGGGACTCATCCAGCTGCTTCTTGAAACAAGCAGTGAGGCTTTAGTAACATGGCTGTGTAGCTTGTCCCATACTCCCACAACCCTGTGACATAGCACTCCGTCTGTGGCCTGTCGCCCACTGTGGGTGCAACCAGTAACCTTAATTTTGTGATTTTTGTGAGCTCGCAGAAAATATATTTCATTGCCAGCAACTACTGCTGCACGCTGTATTGTTATGCATTTCATAAATAAACTTTGATTTGATTGGATTTGATTTGATTTTGACCTGTTCCAGATTTCCACTTGGCTCTCCTTCACTTTCAGCTTCTGAAAGCCCCCCCTGCAACTTCTGCTGGGCAAAGAAACGTGCAAATCGCGCTGTGCAACTCTTTCACGGAACAGGAGAGGGCCAACGCCAGACCGGAAAGTATGTATTCACTCTTCGTTTAGAACAATTTCCAGCATTTTCGGCGTTCTGTGGTAAGCTTCCCCGCGTGTAATGCGAGGAGGTATCCTCGTAATGTTGACACACACGTGCAATTCATAGACACGCTGAATCTGTGTCTCGCTGATCATGATAGGGTGTTTTGTGTACAGAAATGTGCAAAGAGTGCAATTCCTACAGCAGGGAATACAGATCCACAAGAGGGTCAGGTTTCCTGTCCTCACACGGCATATTCCCAGGCCACCTCCCTGAACAGGGGGCTCAGACCTGTTCAAAAAGACTCCCCGTCTATGGACATCCACTGCTGGCTGGGGGGCACTGCCCATCTTCACGCTGGAAAGGTTTAAGGAGCTGAGCAGGGAAATCAGTTCCCTACAGCCTCCTTCCCACAGTAAACAGGATTTACTGCATAAACCTTCGGGGAGGAACAAGTGGTTTAACCCTCCTCCTCTCCCTCCGATTGGACACAGCTCAAGTCCGCTAACTAGTGGTGTAAAATACAGTCAAACTTGTTGTCCGATGTAAATTCCTGCTTCACCACAGGATACCATCTACTCCGCACAAATTCCAAAATCCGCCAGGATTTATGATTTCTAACTAAGGCAAAAATAGCCCGGGCAAGCTTCTTCAACGCCACTCCTTTGACATGAGTAGGAGACTTTTAGACGCCCCCCTGCTCACAGAAATGTTGTTCCGAGCACAGAAGGAGAAACTGCTCCATTCAGTGTTAAACGAATGATTTCTTGAATCCGTGCTGAGCCTCTTCTCACGTAATCGTGATTCCGTGCAAAACACCACAAAGCCAAGGCTTTGCGAACGGGAAAGCTTTAATTAAAATATCTTCTTGGGGGTCTCTGTGCTCCCCTCCCATTAGAAGAAAAATATAAAAGAAACAGCTACTGTAGGATTAGTCAAATGCCATGTCATTAGACTTTAACAAGTTGCTTTCAAATAATTTGTCGGTACTGAAAGAATCTGAGGTAACACATTAATTAATTCTTTGATTGCTTTGAAGCATCCTGCTATTCACAGCAATAAGCCTCTCACACACTACAGTATTATAACTGTGTGCAAAACTGAAATGTGATGATGTATTTTACTGGTCCTCTGAGTTTTGTTCCAGCTGGATCCCTGACTTCAGGACACTATGCAGACTCTCCTCAACTGATGAATTTGCTCACTTATTCCTGACTACACAGCTCTTAACAGTTGATCAGTCTGAGGAAGAACAGACACACGTGGGAACCTGTATCACAAAACTCAGTTTTTCCTTAGTCTTCAGGGCAGCTGCCTACATTTAAGCAGGCGCACCTGGATGAGGGCAGCCCTGAAACTCCAACCGCGTTCAGCTGCTGAAGAGCCGAAAGCAACTTATTAAAAAAAAGGACTCAAAAACAGAAATCCAAAATAAATCAGACCGCTGTTTAAGAGCTCTGCTGGAGTGAAACCCAGAAGACACAAGAGTTACACAGGATCAGGACCGAGAGCCACTGGTGTATCTCAAAGATCAGTTTTGAAAGTGGCCATAAATATTAGGCCACTCGGAACACTCTCCGAAGAAAGAAATACATTATACGATACAACGTACAAAAAAATCATTGCATGAAAGAAAAATGTAACAGGGGCATCACCCATTTCTAGAATTAACAGGGATATGGAAAGATATTTACTGCCTGGGACATCTTACTACCGGGCTGGCTGGTTATTCAGCTACTAGATAAGTCTGGAAGGAGAAAAGATGTAGAGGAATGAAAGGCAATGACAACACCACAGCTCATAGCTCACAGCTCACCCTTCACAGTGGCGTGCACTCTGGGATGGAAATTTCCATAAAACTCAAATGTTCAAAGTTTTACAACAAGGTGTGCAGCCCATTACTAAAAGAATACAGAAAAACGGAAGCTCTACACAAACAAAAACCTCAGAAACCCGAAGAGTAGAGACTGAGATCGAAGGCTAGTTATTTCCTAATCAGAATTCAACTCATGCCGTGTTTCAAATCCATGTCAAAACTTTCCATGTCAAACGAGCCAAATTGAGAAGTTTTTGTTTTGTTGTACAGGCCAGGGAAGAGCCTCAGCTCCTAAACTTCTGTTCAGACAAGGAAACCGTCAATAGCTCTCTTAAAATGTCTACAAAACCTCAGCAAAAGAGTAATGGAAAAGGGTCTATGAACCCAAGGAAGAAGGTTTGACGTTTGCAGTTCCAACTGGACACATTATGTCATAAGAACACCAGACGAGAGACTGTCGGACAGCTGGGAGGGGCTGACAGTGCTGTAAAGTGGCAACGTGACAAGACTGACACCATTTTAATAATCCACAGGTTAAACTAGATGTAAAGATAGATTTTGTACAAATCGGACTCTGGCCTGGGGCCATTGCTCCTGACCTGGCTTGAGGGAATTTTAAACAGGCACCTGTTGGACGTGACACCTCAGAAACAGCTGAAAGGTGAGATAACATCTTCAGGAGTAACCAAGGGGCCATAAGCGGACTGTTTAACCCCGATTCATAGCAATAACAAGGCTGGAATCTGACTATAAACCCTCTGTAACACAGCTGGAGTTCAGAACACTGTTGAAGATACACCGTATATGCGTCTCCTTCACGGTTCACTGGAAGCGGCCGTTTTTGTTACCATTAAACTCGTCTTACACCTTCACTGGACTGTGCCGTGACTCCTTGCATCCCCATAATTTGCAGAGAAATGAAGTGAATTTCTTTAATGTCATTTGGCAGCCCAAGGAAGGCAATACAGGGGTGAAATGCTGTATTTGTCAATGAATAACTTTAAACATACATTCAGGCTCCACCACAAACTGTACGCAACAGGAACTTTTAAAAAACGAGACCTCAATTTTATGTGTTTGACTCCAGTCTCCTGAACACTGGTGAAATCAAGTGAGACCAGTTAACAGGAGCAAGAAACAAATATTGCAATATTTGCAAAAACGTGTACAAACACTTAGACGCTGAACATCTAGGACTGCCGACAAGAGAGTTTTGTGTAAAGTTTGCAATGGGACTCCGGGATAGGCATATTCTCTTCAACATTTCATTTTCTTATCCAGGTCCTTTCACACCTGGATAAGAAAGGAACATATGTGAGAATGCTGTTTGTTGACTACAGCTCAGCATTCAACACCATAGTGCCCTCAAAGCTCGTCATCAAGCTCCAGGACCTGGGACTGAACACCTCCCTCTGTAATTGGATCCTGGACTTCTTGATGGAACGTCCGCAGGTGGTGAAGGTGGGAACCAACATATCCTCTACCCTGACTCTAAACACTGGAGCCCCCCAGGCTGCGTGCTTAGCCCTGTCCTCTACTCCTTATTTACCCATGACTGTGTCACCAAGCATAACTCAAACTCCATCACCAAGTTTGCGGACGATACAACAGTCATTGGCCCGATCACAGATGGTGAGGAGTCTGCATACAGAGAGGAGGTTGAAACCCTGGCAGTGTGGTGCCAGGAGAACAACCCCTCTCTGAACATCAGTAAGAGATGATTGTGGACTATAGGAAACATCAGGGTGGAGACCACACACCTATTCACATCAATGGGACTGCAGTGGAGAGGGTCAGCAGCTTTAAGTTCCTGGGAGTTAACATCTCAGAGGATTTAACCTGGACTCAACACACCAACACCGTGGTCAAGACAGCACGGCAGCGCCTGTTCTTTCTCCGCAGGCTAAAGAGGTTCGGCATGCCGTCACATATCCAGGCCAACGTCTACAGGTGCACTATTGAGAGCATCCTGACTGGCTGCATCACTGCCTGGTATGGGAACTGCTCCGCCCGGGATCGCAAAGTATTGCAGAGGGTGGTGAAGTCAGCGCTGCTTATCACCAGCTGTGAGCTACCAAGCATCCAGGAGATCTACTCAGCTAGATGTCTGAAGAAGGCCAGGTGCATTCTCAAGGACCCCAGTCATCCCAGTCACAAACTGGTTTCCCACCTACGGTCTGGTAAACG